GTTGGGTTGGTTTACAAGGTAAAGTCTATATGTTCTCACATCTCTATCTCTCGTAGCCAAAAATTAAAAGAACGTCCAGAAGATAAAATAACTATATTAAAATGTTGACAAGCTAAAATAACGTGGTAAAATGATTACAAGCTTATGAACAAGATAAAATATTGACATGTTATAATAAAAGCAAAATTAAATATGGACGTTTTATAATCACGACAAATTTGTTATGATAAATGCAAGATTAAATAGGGACATATTATAATGAAGACAAGATAAAATAATGACATGTTATAATGCTGACAAGCTAAAATAACAACGTGGTAAAATGATTAAAAGCTTATATGAAGACAAGATAAAATATTGACATGTTACAAAGAAGATAATATACAATATGGACCTTTTATAATTACCACAAGATAATCTTAATTGATTAATAAAAGCTTTAAAAATTTCAAATCGATATCTTTTGCCGTTCCTCAGAAACTTTTAATGGACCACGAACGTAAAACACCTGTATATATTTAAAATAATTTTAAAATAAATAAATAAATTTAATGGTTGGCCATTTATCCAGTAAATAATTTTTTCTTAAAAATATACAGTCTAGCTGTTATCGAAGCTGTTATATTATGTGCCGAATACCGTGGATAACATTTTATTGAATCGCACTTAAAAAAAATAAATGACGTGATCCGAAAAAACTCCGAGACACGGGTATCATTTTCAAAATCTATAGGAATTTTTCATGGGAGGAAAAAAATCAAATTTTGTCGTACTGTATTACAAGCTTATATAACGACAAGCTAAAATAATAAAATTGTATACACCGAGAGAAATAGTCTGGGTATAGTTAAAAAATGATTTGTTTTAATATATTTGGTAAAATATAATAAATAATTCTTCTATATACCAAATCAGCACTTCTTAGTAACTATATTCAGAATTACTTAAGTTTATTTTGAAAAAATGATTTGGTTCACTGTATTTGGTTATAAAAAACAAATATAGTTTAATAATAACAAACCATTTTCAAATAGAGTTTGTATGAATAAATCGAGTTGTTGCTTGCTTATAAAAAACAAATGCAGGATAAAACACGTTGATTATTCGCCGTAGATGCTTTAGTTCGGCCATTGTGTTAGTTTGTGCAAAGGGAGTGGACGCGTCCGGACGTGCTGTATAGTTTATACCTAAATTAGGTAAATATGGATACATTTTTGATTGAAAATAATTGTTTTTTAAGTTTAAGAATTTTAAATTAAGATGTTTAGTTTACTTAAGTTTAAGATGTTTAGTTTACCAAAAAAAAAAGTTTTTGTTTGCAAACATGTTTTTTAAGGAAAATGTTTTTTATTTTTTATTAAAATAAAATGTATTGTTATCAATGGCCGAGTGTTATTTAATATAGAAAACCCTAATTTTTATAAAAACGCTAAATTATAAAAATATATGTTTTGTTTTAATAATACAGGGTGTTTCAGACTTGTGGTGCCAAAAGCTCGGAGGAGATTCCTCTAATCAAATTATGAAAAAAAAATTCCTATGAACAAGTGTCCGAAAATGCTTCGTTACCGAGATACAGGGTGTTTTATTTAAAAAAAAAGTTTAAATTTGATACTTTTTTGTTACAAAAATAATCATAATAATGTATAAAAAAGTGTTTTTAAGCTATAAATAAAAAACTCAATTAAAAAAAACAAAAACCCTGTATCTCGGAAACAAATCATTTTCGGACACATGTTCATAAAAACTTTTTTTCATACTTGAGAGGAATCTCCCCTGAGCTTTTGGCACCACAAGTCTAAAATACCCTGTATATTACTTATTTTTTAAAACAAAACGATTTGTTAACAAAAAAGATCATTTGTTTTTTATAAATAAATATATTTTTATTAAATAAAAATTTGATTCTTATAAATAAATAACTTATTTATTACGACTAATTGGTTTGGTTTTAATAACCAAAAACAAATTATTAAGTAAATATGACCAAATGTCTTGAAGCTAATCATTTGTTTTTAATAACGTAGCCGTTTGTAAGTCAAATACTGAATAAAGCATTTGGTTATAAAAATGCAGATTTGGTAATAAAAACCATTTTTTTCTCTCAGTGTAGTATTTTAGTTTGCCATCATTTTAAAATATAACATGCCATTTAGCTTGTTATTTAAACAAAAAATGTATATTTCCTCTATTGTAAGAATTACGTAATGAATAAAAAGAATCGTTTGCTTTACGTCTGATGGTTTTTTTAACCATTAGTCGTATTAATGAATACAGACAATTTGAATTTATACTTGCTCTATTTTCCCAAATAGCGTTTGATGCTCTATGAAAATACTTGGCATCATTATTACATGACCTAAAATACTCGTCTGCTCTTTGTGAGTTCCGGACTATTATTTAAATGAAAACTGGACGGAGTTCATTAAAAAAGAATAGGTTTAATCTTGAATGATAATCAGTTCTATATTTTAGCTCGGATAAATCGTCTGAGCGTGAAGAAATTTGCGCGCACTGGAAAATATTGGGTGGGTGACAGTGGCAAAAACGAACTAAAAACAAATGAAGCCGGTTAATTTGGGCCTGTCAAGTTGCAGTTTAAAATGTAGTCAAACGTTGCCGGTCCCTTTTTTCGTGACATCAATTTAAGTGGTTTAATTGAAAGTTCGTTTGTAAACCAAGTTTAATCAAATAGTGGAATTTCGGACACCTGTGTGGAATTTTTTCTGGCACGTCACTGCGTCTGTTGACGATTCGAGGGACCGTCACGTCCATCGTTAGATAGAAACGGCATTAAGCAAACGGAACTTGAATATTGAATCAGTCTATTCCCGATAATTGGCTATCAGTGTTTGCCACTAAAACCTCTCTATAGATACATTTTTTCATCATCAATAATAATAATATGCACTGAAAACTTTTAGAAGAGCTCTGGCTTTCGGCCAATATTGTAATGCGAAAACTTTGCGTCAGCTGTACCAAGCAACTTTTTAACGCGACCCTTTTTCCCTACAACACATCAGTAAACTTATATCTTCTCAGGCCAAACTGTTTGAATTTTGACTTAATAAAACTTATATTTAAATTACTTGTTATCGGTTTCCAAAGCTCTTTAATTAATTCTGAGCAGGTAAAGGAAGCTAGAGAAGGTATAGACGGAAATTCGTCATTAATTGAAAATGAAATTGGGGTATATAACTAAGTATTTGTTCTTAGATATAATAGAGACATTTCCTATAAGCTTTCTGAAATATAATTTGTCACCATTATAAAATGTATCTATTTTATATTGTCGTAAGTTTAGCTTGACATCATTATTTAAACTTGTCATTATTATAGCATTCTCATCATTATAATAAATTTTGTTTGTATGGTCTTCCTTATAACATGTCATTATTTCATTTTGTCATCATTTTTTATTGTCATCATTATAAAATGTCATTATTTTATCCTGTCAACATTTTAGCTTGTCATCATAAACATGTAATTATTTTATTTTATCGAAATTTTTTAAAAACTTATTTAGATTAAAAGTAATTTTTAATTTTGTTGTCAATTTACCCTGTCATTATTTTATCTTGCACACGTTCTTATTTTAGTTGTATTCATTTGTTATTTTTTATTGTCATTATTATAAAATGTCATTATTTTATCCTGTCAACATTTTAGCTTGTCATCATAAACATGTAATTATTTTATCTTGTCGCAGTTTAAACCTATTTTTTATTTTGTCGTCAATGTACCCTGTCATTATATTATCTTGTCGTCATTTAACACGTTCTTTTTTTAGCTTGTATTCATTATAACATGTCGTTATATTATTTTTTCGTCGTTTTTTATTGTCATCGTTATAAAGTGTCAATATTTTATACTGCAAACATTTTAGCTTGTCATCATAAACATGTAATTATTTTATCTTGTCTTTATTTAACACGTTCTTATTTTAGCTTGTCTTTATTATAACATGTCATTATTTTATTTTGTAGTTATTTTTTTATGTTATTATTATAAAATTTCAGCTTGTCAATCTTGCCTATCAAAATTTTAGCTTGTCATAATAAACATGGAATTATTTTATCTTGTCGCAATTTTCTAAAAACATATTAAGATTAAACCTCATTTTTTATTTTGTCGCCAATTTACCCTGTCATTATTTTATCTTGTCATTTAACATGATCTTATTTTAGCTTGTCTTTATTATAACCTGTAATTATTTTATTTTTTCGTCATTTTTTATTGTCATGATTATAAAAAGTCATTATTTTATCCTGTTAACATTTTAGCTTGTCATCATAATTTTATTTTGTCGCAACTTTCTAAAAACATCATTTTTATTTTGTCGGTAATTTATTTTATCTTGCCGTCATTTAACACGTTCTTATTTTAAGTTGTATTTATTATTACATGTAATTATTTTATTTTCTCGTAATTTTTATTGTCATCATTATAAAATTTTATTATTTTATCCTGTCAACATTTTAGCTTGTCATTATAACCATGTAATTATTTTATCGTTGCAATCTTCTAACATAATAAGAATAAACGTTATTTTTTATTTTGTCGTCAATTTACCGTGTCATTATTTTATCTTGTCATCATTTAACACTTTTTTATTTTACCTTGTCTTTATTATAAAATGTCATTATATTATCCAGTCAAAATTTTAGCTTGTCGTCATAATCATGTCATTATTTTATTTTGACACAATTTTGTTAAAACAAATTATGATTAAACCTAGTGGGGTTAATGTAGCAACACATGATATATTTTTGATTAACCCAATTTGTTTCGTTCGAAGTATCGAGCAATAGCTGTCATTGTTTTCCTGCATAGAGATATTAACGTTAAATTACGATCTATGTTTTCGAGGGAAAAACTGATATTTATTTCTCGACAACAACAAAATATTTTTGCTGCGAGCCAACGATCGAAACGCAATGAAGCGAGGAATTTGCCCGGAGGCCAAGCAGTCAAACCTCGTTCTTTTTCACTGCATGAATTCAAAGGGACCTTCCGTTGCGATACTCGCCTCCTCGCGGGCACGAAATATTTGATTTCTCGACGTTTTTATCATCGTCCCCGGCGCTTTGTTTCACCTCCCGGCCCGAAAAAGGATAATAAGGATTCGGACCTGTGGAAACGCACGTGACGTGTTTTTGTTTCCGCAGAATTACCCGGCGGTTTTGATCAGTAGAGCTCATCCCAATTTATTTGGACGTTTTTCAAAGTTTTTGCCCCATAACTTACTAAGGAAAAAGTCATTTCGAACAACATATTTTTCTTTTGATTAAGCGAAGTAATCTATTGGGAAAAATAAGAATGATTTGAATCATTATATAAACTAAAAAAAGGATTTTTTTCTTATAATAAAAAAAATTGAGGCCTGCCAAAACATTAAAGTAAAACTGAAAAATGATAATCAAAACTAAACTGGGGCCACGTTAAAAAAAAAGGTAAATTTGCATGCACCCTATTGAACTATTCGAACGATTTTCGCAAACCGAGTCTCCCGCAAAATTAAAGGGTGAACTTACAACTATTTTCATTACGCTCTATCCGGGTATACCTTGGATTTGAACAAGGTTCCCAAGTCTAATCGATTATGCCCGATGAAAACTTAATTTTATAGAACTTCTTCTGTGGTTGTAGGCTACTTATAAAACCGTTAATAACACCGAACAAAGAGGCACTGAACAGAATTAGCGCGCGCATTGTTTCCGAATGTTTAGTCATAAAACAAAGTGTTATTGTTGGTTTCATTTTAAATTAAATAAATCGTTTTGCAAGAACCCCTTTATATTTATTATCGATTTCCTAGGATATGGAAGCTCTATTTACAATGTTCTTGGGTTTAATAAAAAGTAATTAAAAGATAAGAAATATATTGTACCAAGCAAAAGTTTTATCTTTAAAATTAAAATTTGATTTATTTCTTAGAGATAATTACCAACACAAAGGGATAAAAAAGTGTACAATATTATAAGCATGGTTATTTTTTTATCTGAATTTGAATAAAACAACTTTTTTAAAGTTATCATCTTTGGTAAAAGTTTTGAAAACAATTTGCCAAACTCCCTCGTCAGCATAAATCCCACATTTGACACCAAAAGGAAACCCCATTTTAAAAATATAGTTAGTTAATGAATTATGTATGAGAATAAATATAAATGATTTGACTATAAAACCAAAATATCCCGATAAAATAAAAATAAAACCGGCCCTTACACCTTTATTTTTGTACGCCACACCTTAATGGCTATAGCCTATAGGCGCCACACTATGGTCAAAAAGCAGCGTTTAGCGGGAAAAAATCCAATAAACTATTTTATTGCAAAGAAATATTTATTTTTTTATTTTTTACTGTGTTAAATAAGACTTAATAGGTATAATTAACTATATTTTAATGAAAAAAGGTCTTTATTTTTTAAATGTCTTTTTAGATGTTCGCGGTGAAACGATTGCGAAAATAATTCAATAACTTTTTTATTGCAAATAAATTCATATTTTTTAAAACTATTTTAAGAAATAAATAAACATAATTTGAATTTTAACATTTATTTTATTAATAATTCCTTAACTTCTTCATCAAGCATATATGTTTTACAAATTTTGTATTTCTCCCAACTAACGTTATTAGGGGGTCAGACGATATTAAAAGACGATGAAATATATCCTCGTTTGTTGATTTTCAATTTGTTTTTCTCGAAAACATATATCGAAATTTTTTAAAATCCTTATTTTTAGATTCTTGAGCTTCCTCAGAAAGTAATGTTTTAACTTATAGTTTTTATATTTAAAGATGCAAAACAAGGGATTATTAATTAATTTATAAAATATACAAAGCAAAGGATTATCTATTAATTAATACCTAATAATTTTTTATAAATAGGTAATTAATTATTATTCCTATAGGATAAGTATATATTTTTTAAAAATTTAATAAATCAAAACATAATTATTTAAAAATAATTCTTTACCAAAAAATATTGCTTTAAGATGTTTTTAACAAATTATCTTCATAAAAATACCCATAATAAAAAGTTTTTAAAAATGTATTATTTCCGCCGATAAACCAAAGTGCGCCACCCCCATATTTGAAATTATAGGGTAACCTATTTTAAAATATTTGAAGAAATGATGTTAAAGTTTTTTAAGACGTCATTTTCTTTAACAACGCAAATAAATATAGATGATTTGACTATAAAATCAAAATATCCCAATACAATAAGACCGGTCAAGGGTCAGCTTGATAATTTATTTGAAGCACATCATTCAGGAAATGTTCCCATCGGGACCAACTGTCCAGTTTTCCTATTTTTTTTGTATTCTTCTAGAGGCAACGTATTTTATATTTCAATATGGGGAATGATGGATGATCATATTAAGGCAAGTTAATTCCTTAATATTAAAAAGTTCAATATTGGTATTAAAAAACATATTTAATATTAATTGGCTTAACTATAGTAAAAATAATAGCCATAATAAAATATAAATTTTGCACGAGTCATTTAAACCAACTATTGATATTTAAATGCGGTGTCCAATATTTTGTTAAAATAATTTAAAACAAATTTATTTATTCGAAAAATTACATTTTTAGGTAAATGTTTTCGTTATTTTTTAAACCTTCACGTTAAAAGCACGCTGACAAACTAAATTTAGTGTGTATATTCGGCAAAACTTTGTTAATTAAATAAGGAAACAAAACTTTACGCTAAACACTGCCCAGCCTAGCGAGCTAATCGAAAATTGATGTAGTTTTAAAAACGTACACCACGTAGCAAAATAAAAAATGGGCCAATTTTAAAGGTGACATTTTGATTTATGCGTTTATTTATGGTGTAGAAAATATTAATAAAATATATATTACAAGTAATATGTCAACTTAAAGTGAAAAATGTAGTCCCACTCTTGGGAAATGTTAAAGAAACGATAAAATAATCTTTTGTTTTATTATTTTACCTTATTTTATTAAATCAAATCCGCAGGAAACCAACCCTCTTATTTTAATTAAATTCTATATAACTGTATACAAATTTATAACTGATCACCTGTTTTAATGGATTGCCGCCATGGCAAGAATTTATCCCCTGTCGCAATCTTTTGAGTCCATTTTAAAATTAATTGAGGATAAATTATGATTTGGACCGCAAAACATGTTCTTGTATAAATTCGTGAATAATTTAATATAATAAGAGTGAATAATGAACTTCGGTGACCTGTCGTTTTTGGGAAATTATAATTTTAACGGGCTTTAAAATCAACGTTATTCCAAAACGAAGAAAATTATGGCTTCGCAAGTCATTAATCATATGTTAAACAAATTTTAAAATAATATAAAAAAACATTTGTCAACGTTTTAGCTTAAGATTAATTTTTGCAAAATTATAATAAAAAATAAGAGAGTAACAGCCTGGCTATTGTGGCGAACAATTCCTTAATAAACTTGTACATATAATATATTATACATATGTATACTCTCTTAAAATGAATTAGTCAAAAATGAATAATAAAAAGCAGCCACTATTAACTGCAGTCTGCATCAATTTGTATCCCGGACATTTTACAGTCAATTCCTATATAAAATTGTAGGCTGAATAAAAAAATACTGTCAAAAATTATGAAAGTATAGCGGTTTTTGAGATTTAGTCAATTCCATATTATATGGAAAAATTTCTATATCTGAAAATCTGTAACTTTTGACGACATTTTATAATTCAGCGGACAATTTTATATAGGAATTGGCTGTTAAATGTCTGCAGACATTTGTCAAATTTTTCATTTTTGTTTTTATGGATATGTACTCTCTTAAAATGAATTAGTCAAAAATGACTAATTGTCATATAACTGCAGTCTACATCTATTTGTATCCCATGGGATGATTTGTTATTATTGGAGCTACAAAGTCGGTTAAATTAGCGAACGTCAGGTTTTCGAAATATTCAAAACTACCGTAAACCTAAAACCAAACATTTAATAAGCTCTTAAACTTTCTGATGGTAGTTAAAATAAAGTAATAATTTGGTAATTTCAACAACCATCAGAAAGTTCAAGTGCTTATTAATTGTTTATTTTTAAGTTTGGGGTAGTTATTCAATTATAAGTTTTTGTTCCAAATTAAATTGTTTTTTAAAATATATAAAAATATATAGGGTACCTCATTTTAAAAAAAATTATTTTTGTGAATATTTATCGACGATCAATTGTTTTTCTGCTACACCATTTTAATCACTTTGCTAATTTTACCAACTTTGTAGCTTCTTTTTTACTAATGGTAAGCAGATAACTTTAGTGTATATTGTTAATGATATTTAAATAATTTTTTCTTTTGAGCTTAATTTTCCCAATGTTTTTTGTTTAACGCCTACTATTTGAGATTAGTCAAACCATTTTTCCAGCGCGTAAATTTCCCAAGGAATTGGTGGTTTCATTGCCGCCAACACATAAACGTAATAAAACACATTCCCTTCGGAGGCGGAATTCTTACTGTCTTTCAATTTCAAATAATAGATAAGTAATTTCTTTCGAGATTACAGTGCGACGTCATGATATATAAAGTTTTTATTTCGACGCCCAATTGATTTTCAAACGCATTAAGTGAGCACTTAATAGGGCGATTGATTGATAGTTAAAAATAAAATTTTCCTTATTTTCTCTTCAGGTTTCAATGCTTTTGTTAGCAAGCAATTCACTTTGCTTTTAAGGGGTATTAAGTTTGTAGATACAAATACCTTACTATATATTGATTTTAAGTTAAATGATAATTTGATGTTTCTTGGCAACAATAATGGCTGTTAAAATACACTGTTTTGTCGTATTTTGTAAATTAATATTTACTTTCTATAAAAAATTATATTAAAAACACACTTCCCTGTATTAAAAAAAATAGTATATTATTATACGAGAAATGATGCGCATAATTTTGAGTGTAATACTACTATCTTAAAATAAAATAGTCAAAATTCTACTATTTAAGTTAGTATTAGCATTTTTTACTAATAAAATAGTCGTTTTCACTTTTAAATAGTTATTTTTAATTGACTATTTCTGAGAGTTAAAAGTAACTAATTTCTTTAATCGTTTGCGGCCAACAACAAATTATTGCTTAAGTTAAATAATATTAATAATAAT